AATAGACTTCTGTGTATATATATATATATATATATATATATATATATATACTATATATAAAATATATATATATATATACAATAGATATATAATATATATATATAAAAATATTTTTTTTCACAAACCTGCCATTTGCCAGGTTTGAGACAGGTCTACTTTATAGTCAGGTTTGTTGGCCAGGAACATTCAGGCTACCAAACATCACAATGTTCATGTTATTAATTAACATCTGCATTCTTTGTTTCACAAATGGAAGCAGTTACATTTTAGAAGGACATCTGAATAAAACAATGCAGTACTTTGTCATACGAAAGAACGTCAACACACCATGCATTATGCTTAACAGTATGAAGAGCAATGTTAAAGTAAAACCATCACAGTACAAGACATAAGACAACCATATAAGTGCTGCATTATACCTTTCATTCCTTGAGAAGCTTGACCACAGAACACAGAGGCTGCATTTGTTAACTGAAGTACCTTTTGGCATCTACTCTTACCGGCTTAGGTTAGCAAGACATATTTTGTAGCTTGTCAGGTTTACTTCACAGTACCAATTAGGCTACTGCTCACCATCCCTTCATGTTAAAATAGTTTCAGCGAAGGGCTACCATCATCAGGGCTGACAGGGACCTTTTTACAGCTGGAATTCATCAACAGCAGCATACATTTTGCTAGGTATAGCAAATACTTGGGCAAAAATCTTCTGTGCTATTTAAGGAGTGTAACATTAAACTTTGACCTTTTCAAAAAGAAAAAGAACATTGGCCTAACAGATGTGATAATGCCTGAATACCAAGCTATTGACAATCTGTTGGGTGATAATGTGATTTCTAAATGACTAAAACCAACATACTATGAAGACTGGCATGGAAGTAGGCACTCTAGGTGGTGTAGAGGGGCAGGTCTAAATTATTGCTTTAGCCAAAGACAACAAGTCATCCGCCCCCCTGGAGCGGAGATCAGAACACCTGCTCTCTATGTGAGGCAAGCTTTGCACTGTCAGCACTAGTCTGTTTCTCTGGGCATCCAGTCTGTAATTACACAGCTCATATTAAACTCACTTCGTGTTTTCCCAGCTGCTGCGAGGAGAGAAAACAAAAGCATATTCATACACTCCACTACGCCCTGTCACCCTAGGAAACCTAATTCTTCACACCACCCGGGCCAAGTGCTAATGGCTGATTGGCCGTATACTCATACCAGCCCACGTCTGTTTGTTCCTGTGTTCTACCAGTTCCCAATGGTCAGGAAAGCAAAACATATAAACTATCCTTAAGTACAAACAAAATCTACTACTATCATTCATATATGTGTGCTTTACAGACATCAAACTTTTTCTGTACAGTTTATCCTTTGCCAATAATATTATATGGCTGCTTCTCCCTGAGGATTGAGACTCCTGCTCTGAAGCTACATTTATTTGGGAACAACTACAATTAACAAGTAAATGCTTTGGCTGAAAATGCGTAGCATCTCTAGTTTATCTCCTCCCCACTGGGCGCTGCTGTGTGTCCCCTCTGACACAGAGCAGCGCCCAGCGAGGAGGAGAGAAACTTTCAGGAGACGGAGTGGGGCAGGGGAGGAGAGCAGTGTCACGGGAGGCCGAGATCTCTATCCGCACTGCCCCGGTCGGCCCCCTGTGACAGATCAGGCTGCAGAGGGAGACAGTTGTCAGCTATCTCAGGATGCTGGCGGTGTGGGGGAGGAGTCGGTTGTCAGCCGTGTCACCAGCCACTCTGCCACCTGTAACAGTGAGTCAGGATGGAGATCGCTGAGTGTTTGTAAATAATTGAGGTCATAGTATGTTTACTGTGTCCCCAATTATGAATGAATAGGAAGCGCTCAACATCACTTCCTGTTCATGCATGATTGTGGACATAGTAACTGATACTATCTCCACAGTTTATGAATGGACAGGAACACTCAGTATAGAGGCTTACTGTTCATATTCATAATAGGGGCTGCAGAAAAAGAGATTTAAGACTGCGTCCTCAATCTCTTTTTCTATTTCAAAAGGGAAATATCAGGGATCAGAGATAAAAAATCAAATTTAAAAAAATAGTTTAAAAAGGTTAGAAAAATAGTAATTTTCGGTTTTGGCCTGACAGATTTTTTATTTTTCGGTTTCGGTCTGAAAATTCCATTTCGGTGCACCTCTGATATACAACTCTAAGTTGCATCAAAACACCATAACTGAAAATAAGCTTTATATTCCTTTTGGAGTTTATACACAACTTTCCCAAATCAGATCTCACAATGTCTCATTGTGGGCCAGCAGGCTATTGCCACTCATTCTGTGCAACTCTCCTTCCTCAGATCTACATTTCTAAGCATATAACACTCTGTTTCCAATGAAACATTTTTACAAGAACAATTTTTAGTTTCACACTTGGGACAACATTTAACATTAGACAGACCCACAGACACCCCAAGTTGGAGTCAGAGGAAAAAGGAAAATGGAGACTGCTGGCAATCACTGGTCATTGTGAGGTTTCCTGGTTAATTGTAATTACAATCACTAATACACAAATACACAAATTTTTTACTAAATGTAGCCATGTCCTGCAATGTCCTCCCTTCCTCTACGAACGATACAGCTGGCAGGAAAAAGCTTTATGTTCACTTTCCAGATTACCATTTTAAGTAAATGTAGCTCTATGAGCCCTGCTGTGCATATCCTGTTTGGGGATTTTACCGTACAGTATTTTACAGTGTCTCCAATCAAATAGGTGTCACAATGACTTGCTCCTCAAGTTGTCAGCGCCTGAAAAGCTCTAAATCTCAACACAGGTACAGCTGAGAAAAGAGGAAACTTTAAAGCTGAAACTACAAAATGGTGCACTCAAATCTGAAATATGCCATACATGGTGTTGTGCTGCATTAAGGAAAAGGGGTCATGCACATTCTTTTATCCATTGTGGTGCATTGGCACCCAATTCATAACAAATGGGCTGCCTTAATGCAACATACGTTAAGGTGTGCTATACTGCTTGTTAATGTGTGTGTATTAAAGAACTCTAGGAATTTTTAAAAAACGTACCCTTGCAGTGGGGCTGCCCCTGCACTGCAAAGGTTAAG